AGAGAGACATTAGAGACAGAAAGCGAGAAATCACCCCCCAGGGGGGATGGTCACGCCGCAATCCCTTCTACTCCATTCTCCTCTCGGGATCCTGGGCATGCACGCACACATGCCCGGCGTGAGTTTAAGCCACCAGGTCTGGGACTCGAACTGCGGTCGACTACATGGGAGTCCAGCGACGTAACCATTACGCTAACTGCTGGTCCCTTAACAGCCCCACTTTGAGAATGGGCAGACAGAGGCTCAGCAAGGCAGGTCAGTCCTGTCTCCTCCGTGTGGGCCCTGGATGCTCAGAGGGGAGCTGCCCTCATCCCTGCTGAGGGCACCTAGCCTGGTCACAGGGAGAGCCTCCCGCCTGGGCTGCTGCAGCTGCACAGGGGGACTGCAGGAGGGTGGGTGGTCCGCAGCGGATGCAGAGCTCAGAGCCCCACCGGCATCCCTCAGTTCCCCTCCTGCCCGTCCGCAGCGCTCACTGGACTCGGGTTGGCTAACAGAAGGCCGTTGTTCAGGAGCTCAGGAGCAGGATGGATGGAGAGGGAGGCCGAGGGCGGGCTGTGTTTACCCAGGCCAGGCCATGGGCGAGGGAGCTTCCAGGTGGGAAGGAGCCCCCCCCACCCCCGGCCGGCCTCAAGGCTGACACGTAACAAGGTCTCACATAAATGCGGATGAGGCGGAGGAAATGAGCCGATCCCCTTCTCCAGCAGAGCCTGGACCCACGGGGTCGAGGAGGCGGAAGTGTCCCAGCCGGACGTCCATTGGACGGTGTCAATCAAGAAGCCAGCTAGGCTAGGGGAGGCAGAGGCTGGGGATCAGGGAGGCCTCTGCAGGGGGCCATTAGTGCCCAGACCTGCACGGGGAAATAGGTGCTGGCAGAGGACACGGCAGGGTCAAGGGTCCATAGGTGGGGCTCTGGCAGGTGGCATGGTGGTTAAGGGCACTGGACTCCCACATGGCCAACCTTGGTTCGAGTCCTGGACCTGGTGGTTTCCTTTCTCGCTTTCTCTCTCTCTCTCTTTCTCTCTCACTCTTGTTCTGTCCCTCTCTGGTCAAAATTAAAATAAATAAATAAATAGAGGGACCAGCAGTTAGTGTAATGGCTATGTTGCTGGACTCCCCTGTAGTCGACTGTGGTTCGAGTCCTGGACCCGGTGGCTTAAACGGGTGCGTGTGCGTGCGTGTCCAAGATCCCGAGAGGAGAATGGAGGAGAAGGGATTGCGACATGGTCATCTCTCCTGGGGGGTGAGTTCTCTCTTCCTGTCTCTCTGTCTCTCTCCGTCTTTCTAGCAAACGCACACGCCCTATAGCGAAAACCTCTCCCAAAAAGAAAGAGAAAAATTAATAAATAAATAAAGTTAAAAAATAAATAAAAGGTGAGGACGTGGGAGGAGGTAGGTGTGGCTGGGACGGGGGGTGCGGGTAGAGACAGAGCAGAGCTGTAGGTCATATTTGGGGTCCCCGGGATTCTCCCACCCCATCTCTTTCTGCACTCTGGCCCTTGCCTGGGTTGTGACAACTCCGGGGTGCACTGTCTTCTGTGACATTGCTTGGTCTTCCTTGTCACAGCTTCCTCTGGCCTCCACAGTGCCCTGAGTGTGTTCCATCACCCTCTGCTCACCCCGCAGGCCCTGCTGGGTCACATGGCTGCTTCCAAACTCAGACGGAGCCCCATCACCTTGTTCCCCCCTCCGTGTCTCTGGCATCCTGCCCACATGATGGGATAAACGCATGGTGGAGGGATGGGGAATGGATGAAGGGGCAGTGTTCTGGGGAGGGTGGACGGGAAGACCATGGGTGAACGGATGGATGGGTAGTTGGATGGATGGACGGACAGACAGACATGCCTAGGAGACTCACCATGGGGCAGTCCCATTCAGAGGCATCAGTAAAAGAATGGAGGTGCATCCACCCACGTACTAGATGGTGGGGAGATGAATGAAGAACAGATGGATGGATGGGTGGGAGGAAGATGGATAGGTGGATAAAGAAAGGGTAGGTTGGTGGATGAGTGGTTGGGTGGGGGAAGGATGGATGTATGGATAGATGGATAGATGGGTGGTTGGATGGATGGGTGGGTCAGTGGTTGGGTGGATGAAGGATGGATGGGTGGATGGGTGGGTGAAGGATGGATGGAAAGGCATGTGGATGGCTGGATGGATGGGTCAGTGGATGAAGGATGGATGGGTGGATGGGTGGGTGAGGGATAGATGGATAGACGGGTGGATGGCTGGATGGGTGGATCAGTGGTTGGGTGGATGAAGGATGGATGAATGGATGGGTGAGTGAAGGATGGATGGATAGACAGGTGGATGGCTGGATGAGTGGATGAGTGGTTGGGTGGATGAAGGATGGATGGGTGAATGGGTGGGTGAAGAATGGATGGATAGATAGGTGGATGGGTGGATCAGTGGTTGGGTGGATGAAGGATGGATGGGTGGATGAGTGAGTGAGGGATAGATGGATAGACGGGTGGATGGCTGGATGAGTGGATCAGTGATTGGGTGGATGAAGGACGGATAGATAGATGGGTGGCTCGATGGATGGGTGGATCAGTGGTTGGGTGGATGAAGGATGGATGGGTGGATGGGTGGGTGGGTGAGGGATAGATGGATAGACGGGTGGATGGCTGGATGAGTGGATCAGTGATTGGGTGGATGAAGGATGGATAGATAGATGGGTGGCTTGATGGATGGGTGGATCAGTGGTTGGGTAGATAAAGGATGGATGGGTGGATGGGTAGGTGAAAGATGGATGGATAGATGGGTGGATGGGTGGATCAGTAGTTGAGTGGATGAAGGATGAGAGTAGATGGATGGGTGAAGGGTGGATGAATAGACAGGTGGATGGCTGGATGGCTGTATAGATGGCTGGATGACTGGATGGGTGGATGAGGGATGGGTGAGTGGATGGATGCATAGCTGAATGGATGAGTGGACGGATGGATGGATGGCTAAGTGGATAGATGAATGAAGGATGGATGGATGAATATTTGATCATCTACCCATCCTTCATCCACCCATCCATCCATCCATCCATCCTTCACCCATTCATCCATCCATCTATCCATCCTTTACCCACTCATTCATCCTTTATCCACCCACCCATCCATCCATCCTTCATCCACCTACCCATCCATCCATCGAACCTTCACCCACTCATCCATCCTTCATCCACCCACCCATCCATCCATCCAGGATTCATTCACCTACCCATTCATCCACCATCCATCTCCTCATTCTTCATCTACCCACCTACCCATCCATCTACCTATCTTCAACCACCCACCCATCCATCTATTATGGCTGGGTGGATGAAGGATGGATGGACAGATGGCTAGATGGATGGTGGGTAGATGGGTAGATGATGAGATGACAGTTGGACAGGTGAATGGATGGATGATGAAAGGGTTAAAGAAGGATGAATGAGTGGGTGAAGGGTGGATGAATGGATGGTGGGTAGATGGATGGGATGGGTGGGATGGCTGGCTGGACGGGTGGATGGATGGATGGATATTGGATAGGTGGGGGTGGATAGATGGGTAGATGATGGGATGGCTGGCTGGATGAGTGGATGGATGGGTAGATATGGGATGGATGGATGGGTGAATATTGGATATGTGGATGGATGGGAGGGTAAAAGACAGATGGATGGATGGTGGGCAGATGGATAGATGATAGGATGGATGGGTGGATATTGGATGAGTGGATTTCAGATGGGTGAATGGATAGGTGGGGGTGGGTAGATGGGTAAAGGATGGGATGGCTGGCTGGGTGGGGGGATGGATGGGTAGATATTGGATAAGTGGATGGATGGGTGGATATTGGGTGGGTGGATGCATGGATATTGGATGGGTAGACGGATGGGTGGACATGGGATAGGTGGATGGATGGGTGGATGGATGGGTTGGGGGGTGGGTAGATGGGTAGATGATGGGATGGCTGGATGGACGGGTGGATGGATGGGTGGATGGATGGGTTGGTAAAGGATGAATGGATGGATGGTGGGCAGATGGATGTATGATAGAATGGATGGGTAGATATTGGATGGGTGGATATTGGATGGGTGAATGGCTAGGTGGGGGTGGGTAGATGGGTAGAGGATGGGATGGCTGGCTGGACGGGTGGATGGACGGGTGGATGGATGGGTAGATGAAGGACGGATGGATGGATGATGGGCAGATGGGTAGATGATGGGATGGATGGCTGGATGGGAGGATGGATGGGAAGATGAAGGACAGATGGATAGATCAGGGGCAGATGGACAGATGATGGGATGGCTAGCTGGCTGGGAGGATTGATAGAAAGATGAAGGATGGATGGATGGATGATGAGCAGATGGGCAGATGATGGAATGGCTGACTGGGGGGATTGATGGGAAGATGAAGGACGGATGGATAGTGGACGGATGGATGGATGATGGGCAGATGATGGGATGGCTAGCTGGCTGGGAGGATTGATAGAAAGATGAAGGATGGATGGATGGATGATGAGCAGATGGGCAGATGATAGGATGGCTGGTTGGATGGGTGGATGGATGGGTAGATGAAGGACGGATGGATAGTGGACGGATGGATGGATGATGGGCAGATGATGGGATGGCTAGCTGGCTGGGAGGATTGATAGAAAGATGAAGGATGGATGGATGGATGATGAGCAGATGGGCAGATGATAGGATGGCTGGTTGGATGGGTGGATGGATGGGTAGATGAAGGACGGATGGATAGTGGACGGATGGATGGATGATGGGCAGATGATGGGATGGCTAGCTGGCTGGGAGGATTGATAGAAAGATGAAGGATGGATGGATGGATGATGAGCAGATGGGCAGATGATAGGATGGCTGGTTGGATGGGTGGATGGATGGGTAGATGAAGGACGGATGGATAGTGGACGGATGGATGGATGATGGGCAGATGATGGGATGGCTAGCTGGCTGGGAGGATTGATAGAAAGATGAAGGATGGATGGATGGATGATGAGCAGATGGGCAGATGATAGGATGGCTGGTTGGATGGGTGGATGGATGGGTAGATGAAGGACGGATGGATAGTGGACGGATGGATGGATGATGGGCAGATGATGGGATGGCTAGCTGGCTGGGAGGATTGATAGAAAGATGAAGGATGGATGGATGGATGATGAGCAGATGGGCAGATGATAGGATGGCTGGTTGGATGGGTGGATGGATGGGTAGATGAAGGACGGATGGATAGTGGACGGATGGATGGATGATGGGCAGATGATGGGATGGCTAGCTGGCTGGGAGGATTGATAGAAAGATGAAGGATGGATGGATGGATGATGAGCAGATGGGCAGATGATAGGATGGCTGGTTGGATGGGTGGATGGATGGGTAGATGAAGGACGGATGGATAGTGGACGGATGGATGGATGATGGGCAGATGATGGGATGGCTAGCTGGCTGGGAGGATTGATAGAAAGATGAAGGATGGATGGATGGATGATGGGCAGATGGGCAGATGATGGACAGCTGGATGGCTGGATGGATGGGTAGATGAAGGACAGATGGATGGATGATGGGCAGATGGGCAGATGATGGGATGGCTGGATGGATGGGTGGATGGATGGGAAGATGAAGGACGGATGGATGGATGATGGGCAGATGGGCAGATGATGGACAGCTGGACGGGTGGATGGATGGATGATGGATGGGTGGATATTGGCCCGATGATGGGCAAGTAGATGGGTGCATGGACAGACAGGGGTGTAGATGGGCAGACGGTGGGGAAATGGATAAT